GGATTATTTATTAAAATATTGACTCATTTATTAATAATGACTTATTTATTAAATATTGAATTATTTATTGAATATCGATTTTTGATTATTAATAATAGACTAATTATTCGATGTTTAATTAGTGTTGTTTATTTTGTGAATTGAGGTTGGATTGTGTTGATACTTGTGTATGTGCAAATGTGTGTGTAAATTCAAGTGTGATGAATTATTGAAGATATGCATGGATATTAAGATTAGAGAATGATCTTAATTGCATATGATTGTTGAATTTGCATATGCATCATTTGTGTCAAGAGACAATGTTTGTTAGTTCCGTGGGAGCTAGTGACTTGTCCCAAACCTAGAGTGGGGTTTGAAAGCTTAGGGAATAGGCTTTTTGTGTGTTATTGGTCTAGGGAACGGACCCGGTTTAAATGTAAAAACCGAAAAATAATAACAAGTGTTGGTACCACATGACATGAGTTGCATTGAGTCTTGCATTGAGTTTTACATTGAGTCTCATTATGTATATTTATGTGCTATGAGATTATGTGTGATATGTGGAACTGATAAATTGGTGAATTATGGAGTTATGTGTATATACTTGTGAATAGTATGGTTACTTGAATAGTATCGTGTTGATGAAACTTTTGAAGTGTGAGAATAATAGTGATTATGTTTGTATGCCTTAAATTATATATTATCTTATAATTTCAATAATTATGTGAATTTCCACCCTTCTGTTGGAATGATGTTTTATACGACATCGCTCAGGTACTGAGGAGTAGAGTTGCTTCTAGCACGAGGTAGCCGTTGGAGTAGCTTGAGTTGTGTCTTTATTTATTTTGGGTCGAGTCATGCTCTGATTATGTAACACCGGGGAATATTTCGATTTTATGTTTTGAGAGATACTCTATGTACTCTACTTCATTCTGTTATTGTTATTTTGAATTATATGAAGCATTGGCTTTTAAGCCTAAGTATTAAAAATGAGATGAGCATAAGACTTTTATTATGTCTATCATGATTAAAGCAAATTCGCTGCTACATGCTAATGTGAAAGTGTATGAAAAGCAGGAAGTTATTTTAATATTATTGAGCATGACATGTGTTGTGTGATATTTTGAAGATTTATGTGACACCCTTTTTGTGGAATGCATGATAATTACTCTGATCTATTTATATTTATTCTGCGGGGTTAGAAGGGTGTTACACCTTTCAGTGATCATAGTTGATGTCATCCAAAATAGGCGGTCTGTTGACAAATCCGAGTTCCATGTCTCTAGTACCAAAAAGTATCTCCCTGGAGCTCACCCAAAACAGAACAGGGTGTCTGCTCTGATGCCAATTGAAATTTTGGAATGTAGTGGACAAATGTCGGATATGATGTTAGGACGTCGTAATAGCATAATTAACACAAGAACAATTTAAAGAAAAATTGCAGGAATTTAAATAACACACAGTAGTTGTTAACCCAATTCGGTGCAACGTCACCTATATCTGGGGGCTACCAAACCAGGAAGGAAATTCACTATGACGGTATTAGTTTAAAGCTAAACTCTCTCATTTATAACTTATCACCTAATCACTATCTTGTGCAACTACTATCTAGATATGAGATCCACCTCTCACTACCTAATCAGTCACAAACCAACGACAATTCAACAATAACTCAAAATAGAAGTAAAAACACTTTCAAGAATAATAATTTGTTTTGCTTAAAAGTTTTAAACTAAGGACAATACACTCTTATTTAAGAGCTCGTGAGTGAACAATTGACAATTAACACAATCCTACTCAGATGTCAAAAGACATAAGAGAGGAACACAAAGAACAACACAAAAACCTAGAAAAATTCTCACACAAAAATACGACACACACACACACACACACACTTTCTAGGTTAAAAGTCTTTATTATAAATAGCCTTTGAGAAGCATGAATTTAGGCTTAAAAACCACAATAGATCTAAAACAGTAGCTATAAATATTATGCATAATTTTCTGCACAAAAATAGGAACTAAATAGAAAGTTTCCTAAAGTGAAAACTTTTTATGACATCCTTTTTTCCTCGCCTTTATCCATCAATGGTTGATGGTCCATTTTTTAATGAACCTGAAGTTGTTGCTTTGTTGTTAATTTTGTAGGATGCCAAGCTATTTCAGAATGTTGCTGATAAATTCTTCTAGCATCTTAGTGCTAATGAAGCATATAATGTGAAATTTGGTTTTGCTAAATTTGCAGGTCTTGATTCTGACAGTGTTTTGGAATTTATTACGAAGAAGACGTTGTTTCGTTTATGGTCTACCAAGTTGTTGTTCAAAGTTCATGCTTTTGGGTGGCGCCTTATTCTTAACCGTTTATCTACTAGAGACCAATTGGAATCAAGAGAAATTATACATTATGATCATAATTTTCTATTATGTTTTCAGGAGATCGAAGATCTAAATCATTTTCTAAATCTTTGAAAGTTTAAACTGCATACTATCATGGATGGGGAAAGATGGAAGCACTTTTGTTGAGGGGATATGTCATCTCAATTGGTTCTCTTTTATTTTGAAAGAGAGTATGCCTTGAAACAAAGAGTTGGTTTTATGGTTTGCAACTTGTTGGTGTATTTGAATAATAAGAAACAACATTCTCTTTAAAGGTGAATTTTAGGATGAAGGAGATGTGGTATGCAATATCAAACTTGTTGCTTATAGTTGGAACATTATGGGCCTGTTTGGTGTGCATGATAATAGACATGATAGGATATTTGTATCATATCCTATCTCAATGCAGTGTTTGAGAACACAACAGGATATGATAAGTTAATCTTGAAAGTTATTATATCCTGCCTCACTAGTTCAAATTTTATGCTGAATATGTGTTGAGTTAGAATTCGGCAGGATTGAATAAGAAAATAATTTACAAATTTACCTCTATAAAATATAATTTAAAATAAAAAATTAAATATGATAAAATATAAAAAAAATTAATTTGATATTGAATTAAAAAATATCAATAAATAATTAAAATAATAATATGTATTATTGTCATAAGGCAAATTTTGTAACTTTATATAATATACAAAATTAAAATCTAATAAATTGGAAGTATTAAAAATAAAATAGTCAGTATAATTTTAAAAATATGAATACTAATTTTTTTATCAAATTAAAATATATTTTCTTGTAAAGGTAGTTTTGTCATTTATACATTATATATACCTACTTTATTTTGATTATCTAACATATGTGATAGAATTCATGATCTTTTAAAAAAATTGAAATTGTTTATTCAGTAGTGTCATAGAGTTTTTTTTAAATTATATAAAATTATTAATTTTTTTTTATCAATTTATAAATTTTAAAATTTTTTAAAAAATTATATATATATATATATATATATATATATATATATATATATATATATATATATATATATATATATATATATATATATATATATATATATATATATATATATATATATATATATATATATATATATATATTATATTTGGTATCTTGTGTGAATCAAATACATTATAAGATAAGTCTTATCCTGCCTATATCATATCCTAACTTTATCCTGTTTTATATCTTATCCTATCTTGTGCACCAAACTGGCTCTATAGGGTTGAGATCTAATTGTTTTTCTAACTTGTACGGTTGGAGCAAAGATTCTTTATTGTATGCATTAACTTTTGTATCTTTAGGTGGAGTATTTAGTAATGACAATTTGATCCATATCTTGTGACTACCCACACAAAATATCAACAATAGATATGGTAAAAACTTGCAAAATAGATACAGACATGGGTTAATTACCATTAAAATAAGTAAGTATGGTACGAGTACAAACACTTTAGTATTGAGAAATAAGTGTGAGTTGTGTAGAGAGACAAGTATAGGTTATAAGTCCCACATTGCTTAGAAAAGTGGAGGTTAAACCCTTTATAAGTAAGATGACTCATACACCTATCACCTTAAGGTTTTAGGTGAATATGTTGTGTCGCTCTCACTTGTTTGAGTGAGTTTTTAACCTTTAGGCGAGTGTTTGACCTAATATGTATGCTTCCCATCTCATACTCGCACAATATATATTTATATATTATCACTTATATTATTAGATTAAAATGCATGTTTATCAATTTAAAAAAATATAACATTGTTAAATTATGATTCAACAATTTTTATAATTGATCGGTTTATTTTTAATAGAAATACAGGTAATACATACAAGTTTGAATAATTAGATACACAAAAGGTATTAGTAAAAGTATAATATTGGTGTCCACGCAAGTATAATTAGATACACAAAAGGTATTAGTAAAAGTATAATATTGGTGTCCACGCAAGTATAAAGATAAATACAATTTTCTTTTAAAACTTGAATATGAAGATGAAGGTATTAGTAAGAGTATAATATTGGTATCCACGCAAGTATAAAGATAAATACAATTTTCTTTTAAAACTTGAATATGAAGATGAATACTGTAGTACGTTATTCAAACCATACCCATCGACTATTCTATCGGCTATTCAATGAGTACACTCCTAATACTCTAATTGATTATAAATAAACAACTGCCACGCCAATGAGTTAACTGTACCGCATCATTTTTTAAAATGATGATTTTGATTTTGACAAAGATTTTGTTATTAAAAAACCTCTTTAAAATAAAAAGAACAAAAATAACCAAAATATTGTTTTTACGAAACTTAAAGGATGAAATGACCTAATATAAAATTAAAACAATGAAATCTTTTATTTTAGCAAAACTTAAAGGATGAAATTTTTTCTCATCAAATAATATTTATAAGAAAAAAAATGGTGATACATTTATGGTGTAAAAGTTTTTTACAATTATCATTTATTCTGTTAAATTATATTAAAAATTTTAAACTAATTATATGATATACCAAAATAATATATTTTTCTTGAATGATAATATAAAATATTTTTACACTTTTTAGTGCATAATAATTAAACCTTATTTATAATTTTAAAAAGATCAAACTAACATTATTGAATTAAGGGCTGATGAGCCAAGTATCCCCTTGAACAAAATGGATTCCAATAAACGGTTGGGCCTCTTCATCCGTTAGCATCCGTGCCCATGGAACTCTTTTAGACAAATTAGATCCTGGTCCACTACACTTGTATTCTCCATAATATACCGTCCTACATTTACACACAAGTTAATAAGTTCTTAAAATATTTTCATAAATAAAGACAAAATCAAAGTATTGTATTATAGCACTAACAAGTTGCGCTTTTGGTCACCCCAACTATCATCCCATCCTTTTGGGAGAACAATCTTGTCCATGAAGGTGTAAGAGTATACAACTCTTGAATATTCTCCCCATGGTCTTCCAAGATAAACATGTCCACTACCTGTTACATTGCAATTTTTGAAGGAAAATCCACTGTCAAGGGTCGAGTTTGATCGCTTTTGAGCTGTGATGGAGGTCACGTTCTTGGTCACAGAGTTTAGAGTACAATTCTGCATGCCAATTGAGTCGAAAAAGTTAATAAACAATCCTGATAAATTTAACATGCAGACCCATAAAAGCAAATTTGGAGAGGAAAATTACCTCATAAAGAGTCCTTCCATAGCCGAATATGAAATCAGTTGAACCTTGAATGAAACAACTTTTGAAATAGTGAAGGCCTTTGTGATCATACAAAGTGTCTTGAACACCATAAAAAGAACAATTGTAAAAAGCTGATTTATTTCCAGAGATTCGAAGCGCAACTGCTTGTTCTACTTTCGATTCCAAATATGAAGCATTATTCTGTTTTAACAAAAAAAACAAAAATTCTGAACATCATTAACTATTACCAAAAGTATGAAATGTAATAGTATAAGAAAAGTTTCTAAATAAATTACTTCAAATATAATATTAATGGCTATAAAATAGCTAGCATTCACAGCAACAGTTGCACTATTAAACGTCTTCAACGTAGTCCCATCACTTCGCGTAACAGACGATGTGTCATTTCCAGTAATAGTCGGTCGATCATTTGCATCTCCTAAAAATGTTACAAACGGCAACGTTTCGGGGATGACAACTTTCTCCCTAGAAGCAAATAATCATCAAACCCTAGTTACATAATATATATATATTTTTAACGACAATTTAAATAAATGCTAGTAAAAAACATGAAAATGAAAGGAGTAGCATTCTTGGTTAACCTATAAACACCAGGTGCAATGGACACAACAACTCTTCTAGTATTGTGTGGTGAAATGCTATTAATAGCTTCATTAATAGTGTTGAAATCTGCACCACCATCTTTGCTAACTCTTATGATAGTTTTGTTACTCTCTGCTCGTTGTAGCTTCAAATCAAGACCACTTCTTTTGTTTTCCATAATGGTCTTTCTTTGGTGACTCTTCATGTTCCATGATATCCACTTGTCAAAATCAGACTCCATTATTTCTAATCTGCAACTGGTGTATAACAATGAAAGAAGAAATAGAATGCATTGGACATGAGTTTTTGGAACCATGATAATGCAATATTGCTATAGATACTCATATGATTATAAATATATAGACAAACACAAGTAACATGGTATAGTGTTTTGTTCTGACATATGACAATGAAGTTGAATGATAGTTAGAATTATTTTATTTATTTTTATTTTTATTTATATTTTTATTTTTTGTTTTGTTTTTCCTTCCCTTTAAGCTGAATTAATGGACCTAAGATATAGAATGGGCACTAAAAAAAGACCTAAATGTGTAATTTGGGATCCCAATTCCAAACTATGATGAGTTAATGTGTAATCAATGATGTACCATGGGATTGAAGATAATTTATTGGGGAGGAATTGTGGCAAAAAAACATGCTCAAGTTCATAGCTGTAATCCATTTTCAAAAGGCTAAATTGGTAGTGGTTTGTCAGTTATGCGGTGTGATATATTTGGGAGACACATTCTATATAGATCTAAAGCAACAAATATAGTTGTGGGGTAGAAGTTAGGACCATTTTTTTCTTTTCTTTTCAGAGTTTGAGATTTGAATTTATTGCATCAGGCTTATCAAATAAGTTGGTCACAAAAATAGATTCTCATTTTAATAAAAGTTTCATAAAATTCCATAATTAGATATGAGCATTGGCATGGTAACAACCGTCACAATTGAATTTTGTAGGCGTTTCCAAATCTGCCGCTATATGTTTTTTTTCTTCAACAAGCAATGATATTTATTAAACAGCACAAGGGGTGCACGAATTCGAGAGTACAAAACAATTGACTTATTATCTCTTAATACACTCAAGAGGTATAGTGAATCAATCAAAAACGAACAATTAAGATTAGTACTTCATACAATTAACCATGTCCAAGTAAAAAACTTAATAAGTATCATTTGTCTTTAATTTGTCATTAAAGGATAATAAGTTCCTATTTTCTCACAAAAACCATTTTGTCGTAGCCCAAATAATATTGCCCAATAAATTACCAGCATCAATTTTTGAGGAACAATTAAAAGCAGTGAAAGATTCTACGCAACTCCCGTCTCTAAACACTTGAACTCCGAACGATTTATCAATCTCGCTCCACACATTTCTTGCATAATCACACTCCATAAACAGATGTTTGATATTTTCATCAAAATTCATTCAAATTGGACAACTCAAACAACACCCCCCCTTCCACCGACACCGACCAAGATATTCCTTCTAGCCAGCTGATCCTTCGTTGTGACCCGGTCTCTGAATACCCTTCAAACAAAAACCTAAACTTTTGAGGGGATTTTCGCTCCCAAATCTTCTTGGACCCTTATATTATATCCTCCCCAATAACACTCACCACCCTATCCTGCATCAAACAATCGTAAAAAAAAAACAGAAAAAGAAAAAGAAGAGGAGAAAGGTGTCATTGGTTCCCACAAAAAAAACATCGTCAACATCATCCGTCGGTCTCACATTGACCAAAAGATCCAGCAATTCCTTCTTCTCTCTTTCCATAACCATTTCAGTAGGAAAATTATGAAACCACAACTTCCTATGCCACTCTGCCCCTTTCCACACACCCATCTGAGCTACAGATTCACCAGAATTTTGGGAGAATAGGATTAAATTAGGAAACATTACCTTTAGAGGAATATCGATAATCCACTTGCAGTGCCAGAATTTAACTCCATTTTTGTTACCCAACGAGAACTTCAAATTGTCGACGAATAAATCAGAACCGATACATTTGTCGTAACTCAGCGCCATAAGATCAGGCCACCATATAGAATCTGAGCTCTTTCCATTATTCCCGTTGTATCCTGTTATAGCCAAATCAATACCTTTATTCGCGTATCTATAATCGATAATACCCTTCCACACCAAACCTTCAGAGTGCAAACACCTCCATTTCCACTTAAGAAGGAGGGATCCGTTGAAGAGCGAGACATACTTGATTCCTAGACCTCCTTTAGCTTTGGGCACACAAACTGATTTCCAGTCGACCCAATGGATTTTCCTCCTGCTGTCACCACCACCCTAAAGGAAATTACTCTGAATGCTCTGGAGAATCTTCATAACACTTGTCGGAGCTCTGTAAAAAGAAAGAGCATACAAAGGCATAGAATTAAGAACAACATTAATCAACACAACTCTCCCTCCAGTTGACATTTTCTTTCCTTTCCAGTCTGCTAATCTTTGCCTCACGTTATCAATAACTTCCTTCCACAAATGGATCTTCTAGGGCTGTCTCCTATGAAAACCCCAAGGAATTTATAGGGAAGCTTCAAAACATCACAGTGGAGAAAAACTGAGGAATCATCCAAGAAATCTGCACTAATATTCACACCTTCAATTCTACTTTTAAAGAAATTAACTTTGAGACTCGTCAGCAATTCGAAACTGCGAAGCACCGCTTTAATGCACCAAAGGTTACTCCAATTTGCTTCTCCTATCAGAAGGGTGTCGTCTGCAAATTGTACTATATTATACGAAATGTATGAGCTTACCTTGAATCCCTTGTATAAATCACTAGACTCCGCTTTCTTCAACAATTGGGTTAGAACTTCCATCACTAGAATGAAGAGAATGGAGACAGATGATCACCTTGACGAAGGCCTTTACTAACCTTAAAATCTCTAGTAACACTGTCTTAATCAGAACAGACATAGATCCATTGAAAACCAAATAATCAATCCATTTTATCCACCTTACCCCAAAATTCATCTTCTCGAGCAAGGTCCGCAGAAACACCCATGACACACAATCATAAGCCCTTTCGAAATCAATTTTCATCACCACACAATCCCGTTTACTCCTTTTAGTCATTCAACGACTTCGTTAGCAACCAAAACTCCATCAAGAATGCACCTACCTAGGACAAACGCCGATTTGTTCGATCAAAACTAAGCTACCTACAACCTTTTTAAGACGGCTAGCCAGGATTTTTGAGAGAATTTTCTGATAACAATTCACCAAGAAGATCGATTTGTAGTTCACAAGATGTTGAGAATTTTTTATTTTTTCCACCAACGTAATGAAGGAGGCGGAAGCTGCCTTAGTGAGGACAGGTTTGCAGAAAAATTCTTTAACAAACCTAACCACATCTTTCTTGACAATGTTCCAGCATTCTTGAAAAAACACAAACGTAAAGCCATTAGGTCCTGGGATTTTTCTTCCATTACACCCCCCAAATCGCTTCTTTAATATCGACCTTAGTGACATCTTCCTCCAGACTACACATATCAGCTACAGACAACTTCTTCAAATCTAAATCTTCAAAAGAAGGACTGCCATACGAAGCTTCACTGAAGTTCTCTTCAAAGAAATTACTCACCTCTTGTTTAATTTCTGCCACACTCTCTTTTCTCCCGCTAGGAGTGTTTACAAACCAAATATTATTTCTTCTACGTCTACTCTTCATAGCTCTGTGGAAGTAACTGGTATTACTATCACCTTTCTTCAACCACAATTCTCTCGCCTTCATCCTTAGCATACCCTCTTTCTGTTTCGAACTCTTCCAAACTTTGTTCGACGCATACACTCTTTTATGCACCATCTCATCAAAGTTTGAGAAACTGAACCTAATAACCTCCCCATCAAGACCATTGAGATCACTAACTACTTCTTCCACTTTCAAATTGATTCAACCAAACACTTCAATGTTCCATTTCTTCAGCCTTGCTTTGAGATTTCCTAATTTGACTTTCAAGACATAATCCCCTCTCCCTCTCACTTCAGTAGAATGCCACTCAGACTCAACAAATTTCAGAAACTCAGAATGTTTAAGCCAGCCGTTATTAAGTCCGAAAGGTTTGGGGCCCCAACCCTAAGTACACGCCTTTAGCCATATCGGGCAACGATCAGACACGTCCCTCCACCAATATGTTGCCCCATGATCTTCTAATCTTCAACCAATTTTTCCGATAGTAAAGACTTATCGATTCTGCTCATCAAACTACCAGAACTGTTAAGCCAAGTGGATTGACCACCCACACATGGCACGTTAATGGGTTGATGTGTGAAAAATATGAACAAACAGTGGAGAAAAGAATAAATATATGGAAGAAAACTGCAGTGGAATTAATGGAAAATCAATTAGAAAAGTAAGAGAATGAATAATGACAAAATAACAAAATAACAAACTGATAGTGACAGTCACTGTCAGCCCCTATAGCACACAGTGCTCCCAAATCACTGTGAAAGTGACCCCACACAATAACAGAATTCTCAGCCCCCCCTATTCTCTCTGACTCCACCCACTAATATAGTACATCTCATGCAAATCATGCAGCCATGTCATTATCCCTTATTCCTTTCCCTTTCTTTCTCCTTTAAACCCTCCAAACCTTTGGCTTGGGCCCACTGTCAAGGCCCACCACTTGATTCACCTTTCTATCAACTCCCGCCTCCATAGAAACAACCTTGTCCTTAAGGCAAAAATCTGAAAATTGACCATGCAACACTGCATTATCCTCCCATGTCACATCCTCTCATGTCTTGTGCTTCCATTTAATGAGACTTTGCTGCATAGTCACTCTTCCCTTCACAGTCACCCTAGAGCCCATGACCTTCTCTGGATACACATCACTCTCATCTGTGAGTTTCAAATATTTGGGAAGTTCCCCTAGCACCTGATAGTCTCCAATTGCTTTCTTCAATAACGACACATGAAAAACAAGGTGGATCCTGGACTAATCAGGCAGTTGCAGCCTATATGCCACTTCTCCAAACTTAGCTACAACTTTGAAAAGCCCATAAAAATGTGTCGCTAATTTTTAATTAATCCGTTTAACCACTGAATGTTGTATGTGAGGTCGTAATTTCAAAAAAACCCATTCACCAACCTGAAAACACACATCTCTTCTCTTCTTGTTAGCATAGCCTTCCATCTGTTCTTGCGCTCTTTGTAGATGTGATTTAAGTTGTTTTAGAGCCTCATCTCTCTCACTTAGCTCTAATTCCACCGCATCCACCTTAGTCTCATTTGATAAAAACCGCAGAATACTAGGAGGATGCCTTCCATAAACCACTTCAAAAGGAGTATTCCCAAT